AATTATATGAAAAACAAAAACTTTTAAATAATTAATTTAATATTAATATCAATATTTTTTCTTTTTTAAATTTATATTGCATTCAAAAATAAAAGTATTATCGTTTTTTAAAAACCAGATAACCATATTATATCGACAAAGAAAATAAATAAAATAAAATATTAAAATTAAGATATCTCGCTGCATTGCATGAGTATCTTCTAGTTATTCTAAACGTATTCTTAAAATTTATCTTAAATTAATTATAAAAAATTACAATTAAAATAATTGGAAAAATAAAATAAAAATAAAAAATGGGTTGAAAAATATAACCAGTGATATAACTGTTGCTTAACGCCACGGCACGCTTCTCACGTTTCTTCTCCACCTTACGTTTTCTTTCTATCTTATAAAACACAAAATCACCCTTTCATTTCTTTTTAGATTTTTTCTCTCTCCACCACTTGTGCCATTGCCGTCGGTGGAGCCACCTCCATGGATTCCTTCTACCCCTGCCACCTCACCACCTCCGCCACCGCCCTCTCCCTCTCACACACCCTCCTTTCCCTCATCCAAGGTGACCCATCTTCCAAAATCGAAGCTGCTACGGAGATCCGGCGACTCACTAAGACTTCACACCGGTGGCGCCGACAGTTCTCCGCCGCTATCAACCCTCTTGTTTCCATGCTTCGATTTCAGTCACCGGAAGCCAACGAGGCTGCTCTGCTTGCTCTTCTTAATCTTGCTGTTAAAGACGAAAGGTATGTTTAATTATTGTTAATTCTGATAGGGGAATCGTTAATCGTATGATGTTCAGTTTGTGGTGTGTGTTTTTGGACTCGATTTCTATGCTTGTTTACTATCATCTGATTCATCAATATAACAAGACCTGTTGGTATTTTGAGTAATCAACCTTTTCTCGAAATATCAAAAAGTAGCAAATCCTTTATTGAAGTTTGTGTTTGTGGTCTCTGCTTTCCCGTTAAATCTCTCTTTTGATTGGTTTACTTAAAGAAAGCAATCTCACCCAATTCAAGAAAGTAATACGTGGATTAGAATCATGGGTAATTTGCTCCGATTGATCCATTTTTTTAAACTGCAATTTCTTCATTAAAAAAACCCTAAAACCTGGATTTGATTACTGAGAACCCTGGTCCTAGGAACCACAACGGAGGGGTTCAAGCCGGTCGGATTCGAACTTGAACCGGTTACGTATTTGAGTAAAATTGCTTTGTCCATTTGTCAACTGAACCGCACATCCGAAACGATCAAAGATTCTTAATTGAGATGTTTATGGGACATTTGATTTGTGGGAAAGAATTCATAATGAATGAGAATTCGAAAAGTTGTTCAATTGTTTAATTTAGAAATTAAAATCACGATTGATTGATGAATTAATGTTGAAGTAAATTGTGGTTGATATTATGGCTTGTCACTTTCTAGGGTCTGCGTGTGCTTCTCCTTTTGGTTTCATACATTTAATAATGAAGAAAACTTTTAAACAACTTTGTCTGTGGTCTCCTACCATTCTTTTAATATCTTCCAATTTCAAATTTTAAATATGAATATGTATGTATATTCACATAAATATCCGTAGAAGAAAGACTGAAAATAAAACAAGTATTCATTGTGAATAAAACAAGTATTCATTATGAATATAGTAGAGACATTATAAATTTGTTCTGTTTCTTCTTGTTCTTGTTTAGAATTTTAAACTGGGATAGGACTTCAAATGAGAAACTACTGGGGAAACTGTCCAAAATAGTTAAAAAATGAGAAACTTTTAGGGGGCAAAATGGGTATTTTAGACAATTCAACCACTTGATTTGGTTGTATTCCTCTTTTGGAAGGTTATTTTATGGTGGTCGATGGAAATATTCTTGCATTCGATGCTTCTTAATTTGGCATAGCATCTACTACTTTTGTTATTTGAATAATATTTGATATTGGAGGTCTACAACTTTTTGGCTTCCATATTCATTATGAATCACATGCTACATCATATGTTAAAACTGATGAATTAAGTTTTGGCCTTTTTTCCTTCTTCATCACCAAGACCGGCTTTATAAGACGTTTAATATGTCTAGATATTTTAATAGAGTGTTTTATAGGACTTAAGTTTATAGAAAAACAATTATTCATCCTACTGTAACACTTTTACATAAGAAACACAGTTGTTTGGTCCTATACACATAAGTCATATAAAGCAGTATATTAATGGTAGTTAAACATAATTGGTGTCATGTAAAGCAGATTTTGACATTTTGTTGTGGTGTAAGATGTGAAATTGGATCAAAACTCTGTGATCTTTTGTTTCACTTTCTTTTCCTGAATCTTGTATGCTATAATTATTTGCAGCAACAAGATCAGTATCGTGGATGCCGGTGCCTTAGAACCAATCGTCGGTTTTCTTCAATCCGCGAATCTAAACATGCAAGAACACGCAGTGGCCGCATTAGTCACTCTATCTGCATCTCCGGTGAAGAAATCCGCCATCGGTGCATCCGGGTCCATCCCATTTCTCGTCAAATTCCTAACCCATGGTTCCCCACAAGCCAAGATGGATGCCGTAGTGGCTCTTTCCAATCTCTCAACCGAGGCCGATAATCTTTCATCGATCCTCCAATCCCACCCAATCCCCTCCTTGGTAAACATCCTCAAAACTTCCAAAAAATCATCAAAAATCTCGGAAAGATGCATTTCGCTTCTTGAATCTCTAATTGGTTTCGAGGAGGGAAGAAGTGCACTGACTTCCGAAGAAGGCGGAGTGCTGGCAGTTGTGGAGGTTCTCGAGAGTGGTTCACCCCAGAGCCGTGAACACGCAGTGGGCACACTTTTAACTATGTGTCAAATCGATCGTTGCAGATACCGGGAACCGATACTTAAAGAAGGCGTGATTCCAGGACTTTTAGAGCTAACTGTTCAAGGAACTCCCAAATCCCGTACAAAAGCCCACACGCTGCTTCGATTACTACGTGAATCTCCGTACCCGAGAACGGAACTCGAGGCCGACACACTTGAGAACATTTTGACGACCATAATATCACAGATCGAGGGAGAGGAACATTCCGGAAACGCAAAACAGATGCTAGCGGAAATGGTTCAAGTGAGCATGGAGCAGAGTTTGAGACATTTGCAGCAACGGGCTCTCGTGTGCACTCCGTCTGATCTTTCAATCACGACTGTTTGTGGTTCGAAAGTCTCGTTGAAGTAACTGTCTCGGTTTCTCGGGTCTCGGGTTTCGGGTTTTGTTTGTTTTTGGTGCCTTTTTGTGGATCATAAAACATGTTATGGGCTTTGTGGGATCAAGATTTAGGTAAATATGGTAAAGCCAGTCCAGGCCTCTCTTTATAAGGTATCATGAGATTGGTGAGTGTTGGATATTTGTTTTCTTTTTCCAGAGATGGATTCGCTAAATCCATGGTAGTCATGTTGTAGGGACTTGTAACTATGGCATAGAAGGTTGTACACTGCATTGTATCTATCAATTTCTGTTCTGGAAAAATGACTACCCTTTTTTGGAATTTTTTTCCTTGATATATTTATGTTTGTTAATAATTGTACACTTTTAAAAATAAATAGTTAAGAGTAAAATTATCATTTTATTAATTAAAAAATTAATAATTATTCATATTTAAAATTGTGTATCATATATATTATGAACATTTATTTTGTGACGAGGTGAGTAATTTTTTTAAAAATCTTGAAAGTTGGGGATGCATAAGGCGACATTCAGGACACGAGTACACATATGAGCTTAATTGTCTACGATGTGTTGCATGACGTCCGGCGTCTATCACAACATATCTGTTGGTGAGTTTTCTTGGTGTTTTTGAATTGATAAAATCCGAAATATAAATCAATATTGAAGCAGGGTTGGTTCTAAAATGATTTTTTTAGTCAAATAAGGTATAAAATTGCAGTTTTAATAATCTACTTTATTTTGTTGCAAAGTCAAAGAAGATGTCATGACCTTTGAACATTCTCACATATTCTCTCGAGTTTTGGCTTGTCTTGTCAAATGATGCAACCGTCTTGATCGATATTAAAAATGTTGATCGTGGGCTAACGTCTTTACTTTTGTAGCGTTAAGATGAGTTTGGTCATGATATCTTTTTTGACTTGAGAACACAAACGAGTCATCAACTCATCATCTGGGAAATATGTGAGAACGTTCAAGGGTCGTTAGTGTTCTTGGTATCTCTTTCAAAAATCAAAACAATCAAACTTGCTTTGAATATCACTTGATTTGTTGTTATATCATATGATCCTTACAGATTGTATTTGTTCATGTTCATTTTAATTGATTACGTGATGTGGATGATCCATTCACTTTAGTACCTTTAATGTGCATCTTGGATTCGTAGTCATTAACGTATATCATAGGTCTCTATTGTAACATTTTTCTCTTTTCTACTCATTTTTTATAAACCTGTAAACCAAACTAATTTCCACTCATAACTTTTAAATGGGTTTAACAATTTTTATTTATTGGTCCTTAGAAAAATGTTTACAATACTGTTTCAAAATATACAGTATTAAAATAATCACAATCAAAATACAATATAATAAATAAAAATATATATAAGTCGTTGGAAACAAAATAATTATTCAAGATAATTCGGAAAAAAATCATATATTAAATAATTCAATAGAAAATTAGTTTATTTTACAGTTACTATAATATTAGAGTAAGCATTATACTTTTGATTCTTGTGGTTGTCACACACTATTAACTCTTATATCTTGTTTAAACTAATTACGGTTTTAATTAGTGTAGTTGTCATTGATTTTCATTTCTGGTCCCTTAAACGAACTTATGTTTTAGAACCGTCGTGACTAAAACTATGATTAACTTATAAAAAATAAAAAAAAGAGATGAGAGTTGATGATAAATGATCACACAAAAATAAAAATATAATTTACTTTACTTATTAAAAAATTATATCATATTATTTTTTTAAAGGAAAACAGCCAATTAATTTGCACATATATCGTATGATTTGAAAGAGATGGGACCCACCAAACGAGAAAGAAACCGTCCTTGTTTACCGACCTCTCTCCTCCCACGTGGAGGAAGACCGCTCCAACAGCCCCCACATTTGGTGATAAATTCTTAAAATATTAAAATATAAATTTTATTCTATCTAGTTTTATGTTTTTTTAGATTAGAAAAATACGCGAGATTATGTCGATGATTTAATGTTTTACTTTCTTTTTTGTTTTTTTATATTATAAAACGGTTTCATACGATTTTGAAAAAATATTATATTTTAATATAAATTTAAAAATATCTTTAAAAAATTAAAAAAATATTAATATTAATATTAAATTAAGTATTAAAAGTTTTTGTTTTTTATAATTAATTTAATTTATTTTTTTTATTATAATTTAATTTAAATTTAATAACAAAAATAATTTATTTTTGGTTTAATAATACAAGTTCTTATAAAATCAATAATTAAGTATTTTGTTATTACTTAATAATTATTCTAATTATATTTTAGTTTTTTATGATTAAAATGAAATATTTATTCTTATTTGATTATGTTTATCTATTGTTAGTTACAAGAATTCAATATAGATTTTTAATAAGTTGTACTTATGTCTTACAATTTTGAATTTTAAGTAACTAATGTACATCAATAAGCAATATTTTTAACATAAAATGGTCTTTAAAAGGTTTTGTCAAAAAAAATTGTAATACTAGAAGAGTACTTGCGTAATACAGCTAGATCATTTTCTAGATTTTAATGTTTAGTTTTATTTTTTATCTTTATCGATATAAAACGATTTTATATGGTTTTGAAAAGACGATAATGTTTTTATTTTTTGATGAAATATAAATTTGAAGATAACATACAAATTTGAAAAAAAAAATCGATATTAGTATCAAATTTACTATTTAGTAGTTCTCCTTGTTTTGGTGTAATTTATTTAATTCAATTTTTTTATCATAATTTAATTTAATTTAATTTAATAACAAAGTAATTTATTTTTGGTATCTGTTAGAACTCAATGATTATCTTAATTATATTTTAGATTTTCTATATTTAAAATGAATGTTTATTTTATATTTGATTATTTTTATCTCCAGTTAGTTATACAAATTCAAACATATAGCTTTAATAACTTGTCATTTTAAATATAAAAAAATCTAAAATATAATTAAGATAATCATTGAGTTAGAACAAAAAATAAAATTGAATTAAAGAAATACACAGAAAAATATAAATTTTAAATAGTTATTTTGGTACCAATATCAATATTTATTTTTCCAATTTTCTATGATATATCTTCGTATTTATATTTTATTCAAAAATAAAACCATTATCGTTTTTTGAAAACTACATAAGACCGTATTATAATATTGATTGAGACAAAAAAATAAAAATAAATATTAAAATGGAATCGTATCTCGCTGCATTGTACGAATACCCTTCTAGTTTTTATAAATATATCATTTATTTATTTATATGAGGATGTAATTGATGGGTACGTTTATAATAAAATAAATTCACGTTTTTTCCCTTAATTTTGCCTCCTGAAAAACTCAAAACACGAGATTTTTTTCCATCATGTTTTTTTATTAAAAACACTCGAAAACAAAATGTTTGAGAATTAAAGGGCATTTGACTTAGTGATATCGTAACATTTGACCTCCTAAGAGATCAGAGGTTCAAACCTCACCAAATGTGAAAAGAATGTGTGAATTTATTTGTTACATTTACCGTTTATAAATTAATGTTATATACTTGAAAAAACAAAACGTTTGAGAGAATAATCGAAGGAAGATGAAATGTTGGTATGTTCATGTAACCTTTCTCAATTTGTTTAACTAAACTAGCTCAAGTCCCATAAAAATAAAAAACATTGTGGGTTGGTTTATATACATTATGGGTTATAGGCTTAGAGGATGTTTGGTAATTGCTGAATGATTTGGTGCAGAACGATTAAAGGGTCGTTTACCAAACACTTACCTGGTAAGTGCTTACCGATAAAATTTAACACTATCAATTACTTATCGTGTAAGATTTTAGTCCACAAAAACAACATCGTATGCAATAATTTACCCAGTAAACGCTTACCGTAGTAACAGTCGTCGCCCTCACTTACAGGGTAAGACTCTTGGTCCTTGTCTCGCTCTTACCGGATAATATTCTTGATACTTATCATATTTATCCAGTGAAGTAATGTTACTTGATAAGCCCTTACCTGGGTAAACATTTGGTAAACGACCCCTAAGTGGTCAGAATGATTAAGAGACTTTCATGATATAATGTAAAATGAAATATAATTGTTTGGTAATTGTTTACGATGAAATTAGATTGCTTAATGGTTAAGGGAGGTCCATGATACAAAATCATTTAAAGGGCTTTAGAACCATTAAGAGGCGGATTTTTTTTGCCAAACAAGATTCACCTCTTAATAATTTAGATGTTGTATTTTAATGAAATTATTAAGAGGTAAACAAACAAACAAACCCTAAGGGGGCGTTTGGTTCGCAGAATGATTTCTGAAGAAATGAATCTGTCAAAGGAATTGGAATCTAGAAGGAATTGGAATTGAATGTTATCAGGTTTGACCAAATATTTGGTTGGTAGGAATGAAATTTAATCTGTCTAATGGATTGGAATATGTCTGTTTGGTTTACAACAAAATTGGAACGGAATGATGAAAAAGGACAAAAATACCCTTATTTTGATATATATATTTTTAAAATTTAATTTTTTAAATACAAATAACAATATAAAATTAACATTTATTGAGAAAAAAAATGTTTACCATTTATTGAAATATTTATAAACATAAAAAGTGAAAAAAAAATTCAATCAATCATAAACCAAACCATTTATAGGAACAAAATAATATTTGTGTCATTTAAACATTTTTGAATGGAATGAAATTCAATTCCATAAATTTGATAAGGAATGGTGAATTAATTCTCAAATTTGGGAATCTTTGGAATTCAATTCATTCCATAAGTAACCAAACATTATAATGGAATTTGGTCAACATAATTGACCATTCCAATTCCATCATTCTGACAGATTCCGACGAACCAAACGTCCCCTAAGACTTTGTTTATATACAATTATGTATATTTGGTTAATTATTTTTCCTTTTGTTTTGATTAATATGAAACCATATTAAAAAAGGGTTGAAAAATGTAGTTTGATATCATTAATCATAATAAAAACAAATAATTTAACAAAAAAAATGAGAACATATTAATACACAGATTAACATATAACATTAAATTCTTAATTTAATCTTATAAAAAAATATTATTTCAACTGGCAACTAATGATTTGGGAATTCACCCAAATAATAAAAATAACAATTAATAGAACTAGTAATACCTCAAAGCAACAACCATTTTAAAACAACACAACCGACCACCACCGTCCAACCACCGAAGCGGCTGCCACCACCACCGGAATATACTCGCAAGGTGAAAGGATGATACACACTCGCAGGTGGGTTGGTCACGTAAATGAACCTTGGTGGTGGTGGTGGTGGTTTTACCACCACAACAGCTGGAGGACAATAAGTGATTGGATTGTTGGGTGGCTGTGGAGGTGGCGGTGACGGCAGTGGTGGAGGCGGTGGTGGTGGCGATGGTGATGGTAGTGGTGGTGGTGGTGGAAGCATTTGTTGGCCGCAAGGATTTATGCAGGGGCATGATCCACATTTAATCGATGAGTCTGGCATCGTATTCGTTTCTTCAAGATTAATGTCGCCATTGATGGATGGTAAAGCTGTTAGTAGATGGGAGATGATTATCATGAACAAAGCTAGAGCTTGTATTGACGGCTTCATTCTTCACCGCTTCACGTCTAGAGTCCGCTCGAAAGGAAGAAGTAACGAGAGCTGAAAATATATATACACATTATTTATATATATATATATATATATATATATATATATAATTATAGTTCTAAAATAAGGATGGAAGATGAAAGTTTGGTTAAAAAATTCCGAAATTTTGTTGCAAATAAAATATAAATTATAAGTGATATATATATATTCGACATGTTTTTGCTAATTCGAGGAATCGACGAAAGAAACTCGATTTTTTTTATTAACTTGGATATCTAACTCGCTATGCGAGCCGATTAATCCCAGGACGACCATCTGTTTTGCAAATAATTCGGAGTTATCGTATTTGAACCTCCATGGCCACAATGATATTTTTATTCCTCATATTTGAACCTGAGACTCCTAGTACTTTTGGCCTTTGGAGCCAAACTCAAATCGATCAAGCACCACCCTTATTATAATTTAAAAAAAAAACTCGATTTTTTTATTAATATGGACGTTATTATTACTTTTTTTTAATCTATTTAATTCAACTTTTATGAAATTTTCATATTTTATATTTAAAAATAAAGATGCAATTTGTTTTGGTTTTATTGACAGAGTAATTATTTTTTAGATGAAAAGTATTATTTTGTATATGAATGTATTTATTTGTTGTTATCAATTAGGGGCTGTTTGGCAGTTGCTGAATGGTTTAGTGCAGAATAGTTAAGAGGTCAAAATGGTTAAGAGGGTCAGAATGATTAAGTACTGAATGAAATAATGTTGTTTSGTAATTGTTCTCTGAATAATAGTAAATTACCATTTTAACCCTTATCCAACAAAAACCCATCTCCCTTCGGCTTCCATTAATCCAACCCTAGAATCATCTCCCACGCCATCGACGACCCCAGCCAAGTGAAGGCAGAAGGTAAACGGCCAGCCAAGTGAAGAAGAAGGTGGCGACGGCGATGGTGAAGGCAGATGAGTAGCGAGGGGCTGTGCGACCGGCGACGAGAGGGTGGGGGAGGCGATTTGCAGACCGGCGACGAGAGGGTGGGGGAGGGGCTGTGCGACCGGCGACGAGAGGGTGGGGGAGGCGATTTGCAGACCGGCG